TAGCCTTGATCTTCAAGTACAATGTTGCGAAAATGTTACAGAACAATGCTCGACTTGTTGATTGTTGAGAGCAGTTCTAGAGTCGTTTCCCCTAATCAACTCGAGCCAATATTCGCCACTCTTTCCATCCTGGACGAGTGAATGGCCTTGCATCCGTCAGACAACTCTGAAAGGAGAACTCTCACTCTTTCTCATCTCTCATTCTCTTTTCCCATCCATTTCTCTTCATCGACTACACGCTGTGTCTCTGTACACTTAGCAGTTATTCGAAACAGTTCCTAAAAAGTTCCTAAGCAGCTCCTAAACAGCCTAAAAAGCTCCTAAACCGTTCCTAAACAGTTTCTACAGATTCCTCTGCCTAGCAGCTTGATTAGAAGCTAGGCAAGCCTGGGGAACGCCTGGAAAGTTCAACTAGAGTTTAGCTAGAGATGAGCTGAGCTAGAGTTGAGCTGAGCTAGAGTTGAGCTGAGCTAGAGACAGCTGAGCTAGAGACAGCTGAGCTGGCAGCTGAGCTGACAGCTGAGCTAGACATCTTCTAGGTTTTTAGCCTATCAGACTCAAACTAGATCAAATATAGGCCTACTTCTGCTCATTTTCCATTTCTATAACTGAATTTCCAATCTAAATCCCAATCTAAATCCCAATTTCAATCTAAATTCCCGATTCCAAAAGAAATTCCCAATTTTCCAATGATCTTTCCCAAGGATTTTGTGATTTTTGTGCAAGCTGGATGTCACAATAGAGTTTACAACTAAAATCCCGACACTAAGCCGATCGGTTCAATTACCCAATCTAGCCGCTACCTTTCCCCTCACCTTTCTCGAGCTCCACTTTGTCAGCATTACATTTTGAAGGGAAATTCTTGCATTCTGGAGCGCACAGGGCACTTGCTGCACAAATTTTCGCAAATTCTTTGCTTTTTAAAATTTTTGATTTTTTTGATTTTTCGATTTTTTCATTTTTTCATTTTTTCGATTTTTTTTAAAACACTGATTTTTCGGTTTTTTCGACTTAATTAGCTTCTGTGCGCTCCAGATTGAATAAAAGTTGCTTAAAAAATTAATCAACGACTGATTTCTAGGCGTTTTTCAAGTCGAAAAGCTACCGAGAGTAATAGCCGATCACTGAGCCTAAGACCAAGAAGCCCGGCAATCCCAGGAAGCCCAGCAATCCCAGGAAGCTCAGAAAGAACCCTGTTTTCAATCTAACTCTTCTGATTTGGCGCTTTTCGAATCGTTTTTCCTTTCGACTACACTCTGCGTCTCTGTACGCCGTCACTCTATAAATGCTCGCCGCCTTTTCTTTTCCGTCACTGCCCCCTTTGGGGCTGGGGGTGACTACCATCTGGACAACACACACACACACACCCGTTCGCGAACCTTCCTTCCTTTTGGCGCTCAAATCGCCTTGCGCGCGCTCCCCTACAACCCGGCGATCGATTTCGCCGCCCTTTCCTCGAGTTCCACCTTGTCAGTATTGCATTTTGATGGGAAATTTTTGCATTCTGGAACGCACAACACCCTTTCGAAATAAATTTTCCCAATTTCTTCGCTTTTAAAATTTTTTGATTTTTCGATTTTCGATTTTTCGATTTTTTTGATTTTTTTCAAAACGCTTATTTTTTCGTTTTTTTTAATTTAATTAGCTTCTGTGCGTTCCAGATTGAGAAAAAAATGACTTAAAATTGATCGACTATTGAATAATGGACGCTTTTCGAGCTGCCCCCGAGTCGTATCTCTTGTTATCAGTTGAAAAAAATCAAAAAAATCCAGCGAAAAGCGTTTTCTTTTTTAACCGTTCGACCACCACCTATTTTTACACTTTTCTAATTCAAAAATGAAAGAAAAAACCTATTTTTTGATCAGTTAAACTTGAGAATTTGAATCTTTTTTGGTGATCTCTTTTTTAGTGATTTTATTTTGACTTTTATTTTGTACTTTGGTGTTGTACAAAGTACTGTTAGGCTACAAAGTACTGCTAGGCTACAAAGTACTGTTAGGCAAGTACTGGTAGGTTTGGGGAAGTACTGGTTGGCTTGGGGAAGTACTGTTAGGCTTGGGGAAGTACTGGTTGGCTTGGGGAAGTACTGCTAGGCTTGGGGAAGTACTGGTTGGCTTGGGGAAGTACTGGTTGGCTTGGGGAAGTACTGCTAGGCTTGGGGAAGTACTGGTTGGCTTGGGGAAGTACTGGTTGGCTTGGGGAAGTACTGCTAGGCTTGGGGAAGTACTGGTTGGCTTGGGAAGTACTGGTTGGCTTGGGGAAGTACTGCTAGGCTTGGGGAAGTACTGGTTGGCTTGGGGAAGTACTGGTTGGCTTGGGGAAGTACTGCTAGGCTTGGGGAAGTACTGGTTGGCTTGGGGAAGTACTGGTTGGCTTGGGGAAGTACTGCTAGGCTTGGGGAAGTACTAGTTGGCTTGAGGAAGTACTGGTTGGCTTACTGTTAGGTTTGGGGAAGTACTGGTTGGCTTGGGGAAGTACTGGTTGGCTTGGGGAAGTACTGGTTGGCTTGGGGAAGTACTGGTTGGCTTGGGGAAGTACTGCTTGGCTTGGGGAAGTACTGGTTGGCTTGGGGAAGTACTGGTAGGTTTGGGGAAGTACTGGTTGGCTTGGGGAAGTACTGGTTGGCTTGGGGAAGTACTGCTTGGCTTGGGGAAGTACTGGTTGGCTTGGGGAAGTACTGTTAGGTTTGGGGAAGTACTGCTAGGCTTGGGGAAGTACTGGTTGGCTTGGGGAAGTACTGCTAGGCTTGGGGAAGTACTGGTTGGCTTGGGGAAGTACTGCTTGGCCAGATTGAACATAATAGGTTCAATTAAAGCAGCAAGGAGTCAGCTGCGATCTGTGATTTGCCTTGATCTGTGATTTGAAAGATTCTGGTCTGACTAGGAACGTTTTTGTTCGTTTTTTTGTTCATTTTACTGGTCGAATGCCTCTCTAATAGAATCTTCGTCGAATGTTGAATCTAAATCTTCGATTTTTAAACCAATCAGCCATTTTTTTGAAACTCTTCTTTGGAATCAAAGGGTTAATTCGTGAAACCATTGCTGATTCAATGGCTAATGCAATTTTTGAGTATTATTGTATGAAAAAATGCAGAAAACATCCTCTTCTGCTCTTTCGCCAAAAGAAAGTCTTCTCTTGTCTTCAAAAATTCATCCACAGAACCGAATTTAAAAAACAACTAAGAGCTGATCCTTCCACCTAAACATTCTCAATATTAACTGAACACTAGAAGCCCTTGTGTCATTGTAGAAATTCGTACAACATAAAGTCTCGCAGAACACCAGGTAATAGCTTTTCAATAGAAATGCTGTCGTCCAAAGCCAAGCCAAGCCAAGCCAAGCTAAGCCAAGCCAAGCCAAGCCAAGCCAAAAAGTGTTCTTAGGAAATTATGTAGCTTATAGAATACAAATACGGTCTTTTCTATAACAATTTGGCCGATCTGGATATCACTTCAGAAGCTCAGCCTTTGCCGGGCCTCCAAAAATCGATTCCGGCAAAATAGTTATTTCGATGACGTCACTTTTTTAGAGATTATTTTGAAAAGCTTTTTTTTCAATTCTATGATTTGGAAACGCTGTTGTGATATCCAGATCTGCTCTTAAAAGTCAAATTTTGTGCGGACGGTGCAGCGACACTGCCGAATCGGCCGCCGATATTACACTTTGGAAATTGTGTAGCTTATAGAATGGAAACGCATCCTTTTTACATAAAATTTGGCCGATCTGGATGTCAGCCAAGATTCAGCTTTTGCTCGGATTCGAAAAATCGATTTCGACAAAAAAATTTTTTTCATGACGTCACTTTTTCAGAGATTTTTTTGAAAAGCTTTTTTTTCAATTCTAGGATTTGGAAAAGCCGTTGTGATATCCAGATCTGAGTTTAAATAAGAAATTTTGTCTCCAGAAAACTCCGAAGATCGATTTTAGTAAGCAAACTATTTCGATGACGCCACTTTTTCAGAGATTATTTTAAAAACCTTATTTTTCGATTCTATGATTTGGAAAAGCCGTTGTGATATCCAGATCTGAGCTTAGAATCAAATTTTGTACCTAGGGAACTCCGAAGATCGATTTTAGTAAGCAAACTATTTCGATGACGTCACTTTTTCAGAGATTTTTTTGAAAAGCTTTTTTTTCAATTCTATGATTTGGAAAAGCTGTTGTGATATCCAGATCTGAGTTTAGAATCAAATTTTGTACCCAGAGTGTCGCGATACTGCCCGATCGACCTCCAATATTGCACACAGCTCGCGCCAGATCCGCGCAGCCATCGGGAAGTGCTCAGCCGAGTAGAGGTGACCTGTGCGCTTTATAGTTTCGAAAGCGACAAGAATCTCGGTCACTTTCGAAGCCAAATCAATTGCAGCAGCGCCTAAAGACTTATCAGTCAATCAAATAAATTTCTGTCGTCTGGAAAGCCAAAAATTTGTCTCAATTTGATTAAAAAAGATCAATTCAAATAAACTAATCATTTCAAATCGATTCAAATTAATCGATTCATCGTCTTTTTTCGTTCTTCGTTTCCATTTCGCCGATTTCTTTTGTTTTTCATTTTTTCGATCTTCCGAACGTCTGAATGAGTCAGCAAAAACATCGACTCGCCATTTTTTTCACAAAATTGATGATATTTGATTGAATTTTAGCTCTAAATTTGTTAAGAGAAGGCGTTTTTCTCTGTTTTTTCTGTGTTTCCGTTTTCTTACGTTTTCTTCCATTTTTCTTCAACTTCTACATCTTTTCAACCTCTAGAATCCTCTTCGAGCCGATTAGTCAACAAAATCGATTCTAACTACCAAATTTTACAATGTTTTTGTCAAAGCTGGATGTCACAAAAGGCTTTGCGTTTAAAATGAAGGAAATAGTATGAAAATTGAGAAATTAGTTTTTGCTTCAATTACTCGAGTTTTTTTTTACTTGTATAGCCTTTTTTAAAATTCAAACTCTTCAATCTCAATGCGATTTCTTCAATCTTTTCTTTTCTAGTGCACTTCAACGCTTAGAATGTCCGGGTGGAACGATTACATCACGAATTTGACCGCCTCGTCGCATCACATTCAACGCGCCGCCATTGTTGGATATCCCGATGGAGCCGTTTGGGCGAGGACTGAAGGCGCTAATCTTTTCCAGGTACGGAATCGGGTTCTAGGCTTAGGCTTAGGCTTAGACTTGGGCTTAGGCTTAGGCTTAGGCTCAGGCTTAGGCTTGGGCTTAGGCTTAGGCTAAGCCAAGCAAAGGCTCAGGCAAAAGCCAGCAATTGGTCTGGCCTTGGCTTGACATGGAAAATCGATACTGAAACAGCTCACACAGGTTCAAGGCTGTCTTCCTACTGACAACAAAACTTTTGACGCTCAAACCAGCCATCTTAGCTAGCTTTAGAGCTCGCTAAAGTAGACACGATTGTCAGTAACCCTTTGAAGGTCTTGGTGGCTATATCGTGAACTAGTTACAGTAATCCCTTGAAACCAAAAACGAATTTGGGCTTTCTGGAGGTCATAGTAGAAAGAAAAAGGCAAAAACCATTGCAGTAATCATTTTACAAAAGTACAGTACCCTTGAAACGTCTTGGAGGCTATTTAGTGAACTGGTTACCGTAACCTTCAAGTCAGACGTTGAATTTGGGCTTTCTGGAGGTCACAGTAGAGAAAAAAAGGCAAAAACCATTGCAGAAATCGTTTCAGAAAAGTACAGTACCCTTTAAACGTCTTGGTGGCTAAATAGTGGACTAGTTACAGTAATCCCTTGAAACCAAAAGCGAATTCGGGCATCCTGGAGGTCACAACACTAAAAAACAAGAAAGAGGCAGTCCTAGCTAGCTTTAGAGCTTTCTAAAATAAACACGATTGCCAAACCCAGCTCCATTTGGCCTTAAATAAAGACAATCTTCATAGAATCAAATTTTCTAGGCAAGCGAATCCGAGCTGAAAACGCTGGTCTCCGGCTTTGCCAATCCGAACGATGTGCCGGCGCGTGGAGCCGATTTGGAGGTAAAGCAATTTCAAAGCTTTTATTTTGTTTATAAAGAAAGAAAGACTAATTTTCGATTGCTTGCAATTAACTGAATTCTAGAAAGTCCATTATATTGTGCCACGAGCCGACGACACGTTCATTTTCGGGAAAAAGGACAAGAGTGGTTTCTTTGCTGCAAAGACTGCTAAAGGTAAGCGGAGCTCAATGACAATGTTTGGGGTTTAGGCTAGGGATCGGGCTTAGGCTTAGGCTCAGGCTCAGGCTTAGGCTCATGCTCAGGCTTAGGCTTAGGCTTGGCTTAGACTTTGGCTTAGGCTTAGGCTTAGGCTCAGGCTTGGGCTTAGGCTTAGGCTTGGCTTAGGCTTAGGCTTAGGCTTAGGCTTAGGCTTAGGCTCGGGCTCAGGCTTAGGCTTAGGCTTAGGCTTAGGCTCATGCTCAGGCTTAGGCTTAGGCTTGGCTTAGGCTCGGGCTCAGGCTTAGGCTTAGGCTTAGGCTTAGGCTCAGAAATCAAAATATATCAGCATAATAGGGGGATCTATCCAAGAGGGCTGAAGCCTTCTTGAATGGATCTTTAGCTAGGAGAGCCATCCAGGCCAGCTAGGAGAGCCAGTCAAACCAAGAAAAGATTCCCTAAACCAGGTCGATCTAAGTCTAGCCCAGGATTGGTCCACTTAGAATAAGCTCCAAACAAAGGCTGGCTATTTTTCCTCAATCTGGAGCGCACAGAAGCTAATTAAGTTTAAAAAACGGCCTTCTAAAAAAATCCGAAGTTGATAAAGTCGATAAAATCGAAAAAGGCGATAAAGTCGAAAAAGGTCGGGAACCAAAAAGTTTAAAAAGCAGAGAATTTTCGTGAATTTATGCAGAAAAGGGTCCTGTGCGTTCCAGAAGGCAAAAATTTCCTGTAAAAATGCAGTGCTGACAAAGTGGAGCCAATGAATTAGGTCGAGTCAGGGTCTAGAGCAGGTGGACTTGATTGGGTCCCTGGGCCACTATTTGACCTGCAATAGTCCTAGTGCCTTCCAGCTTAGAGTTTCCCCATAAACTTTTTCAAGTTCAGCTAGGTCAGAGTGAGGTAAAAGGGAGGTTAGAACGCAGTGCTCTAGAGCAGATCGACTTGATTAGGTCGCTGGGCCACTATTTGATCTGCAATGGTCCTAGTGCCTTCCAGCTTAGAGTTTCCCCATAAACTTTTCCCATTTCAGCTGTGTTGATCGCCGTTTACAAGGGTGAGTCGGCCGAGGGGTCGGAGGTGCGCACAGCGGTTGAGAAGCTGGCCGCCTATCTCACACAAAGCGGGTACTAGGACAATGATGGCTATTGCTGAACGGGCAAACGAAGAATCACATCAAGAATCACATCAAATTCAAAATTCCAATCTCTTTTTTTTTCAATTTTGCCTTCCAAACGGGCCTTTTAGGTTTTTTTGCCTAAAAATTATCAATTTTTGAACTTTTTCTGTACTTTGTAGCCATAAACGCACCCTTTCTAGCACAATAAATCGCTTTTTAATGCGCTAGAATGCTTGCGTTTATGAGCTCAAAGTACAAAAAGTTCATTTTCCCTTTTTCCCTTTTTCCGCACTTTGTAATCAAATTTCTTAAACAAATGCCTTCTAGCGAAAACCCACTGCACTAGAAAGCCTGCGTTTACAAGAGATTTGCGCACAAAGTACACACAAAAATCGCTTTTTAAGCATTCCATTTTCAGTTTCCCTTTTTGTTGATACCGAAAAACATTCCCGGAATTTTTTTTTCAAAAAAACACAAACGAATCCGAGTGTTTTCTTCTTAGATTTCCCCTTTTCTTTCTTTTCTTTCTTTTTTTTCGCTTTTTTCCGCTTTTTTCCGATTTCTTGTCGTTTTTCTATGAAAGCAATTGTCAAATTGTCATAATTTAAATGGAATAAAGGCTTTTTTATGCTTTCAAAGGCTAAAACGCTAAAACGCTACGGTAACCACCCAATCGAACACTGGATTTGCTCATCCTGGAAGTCACACTAGCAAAATAAATAGTCAAAACGGCTACAGTAATCCGTTTTGGAAAAGTACAGTAACCCCTGACAGGGTTGGGAATGCTAAAAAGTGGCCTGACTACAGTAACCCCCCAATCAAACACTGGATTTGCTCATTCTGGAAGTCACACTAGCAAAATAAATAGTCAAAACGGCTACAGTAATCCGTTTTGGAAAAGTACAGTAACCCCTGACAGGGTTGGGAATGCTAAAAAACGGCCTGGCTACAGTAACCCCCAATCAAACACTGGATTTGCTCATCCTGGAAGTCACACTACGCAATAAGCTAATCGAAACGATTACAGTATTCTGTCTGAAAAGTCTGTCTGAAAAGTTACAGTAACCCTGAACAAGCAGGAAGCCTAGACTTTGACCGATTACAGTAACCTTTGGATCAGTTCACAAATTTGAGCATCCTGGAGGTCACACTACGCAATAAGGTAATCGAAATGACTATAGCAATCCGTCTAAAAAGTTACAGTAACCCTTGACAAGATTGAGAGGGCTAAAAAGCGGCCTAGCTACAGTAACCTCCAATCTGAAACTGAATTTGTGCATCCTGGAGGTCACACTACGCAATAAGCTAATCGAAACGATTACAGCATTCTGTCTGAAGAGTCTGTCTGAAAAGTTACAGTAACCCTGAACAAGAAGGAAGCCTAGACTTTTGATCGACTACAGTAACCTTTAGATCAATTTTTGAAATTGAGGATCCTGGAGTGCACACTAAAAGTTAAAAAGTTAAAAACAGAGTTAAAAACGACTATAGCAGTTTGTCTGGAAAGTTACAGTAACCCCTAACAGCTCGAATCTAAATAGTGGACTAGCTACAGTAATCTTTCATATTAGATATAGAATTTGAGCCTTCTGGAGGTCACAAAAAAGGAAGGTGAGCAAATTTAACAATAAAAAAAGGCTAAAATAGTTTTTTCCTTTTTAGAAACTACCGTATTTGCAAAATTTTTGAACAACGTTTATTTATTAACATTTAACAAATAAAGCGACAAGAAATAGATGAGATATGAAATTTTAAGCCGAAATGTTTCGTAAACCCGTATTTTAGCGGAATTTTAAAGAAAATTTGGGGAATTTTGTTTGTTTCAGAAAGAATTGATCACAGAAATGAAAATCAAGAGGAAATAACGAAAAAGTACGCATAAGTACTATTCACAGACACTCAGGAATACACAGTAGAGAAAATGAGGGGCAAAAATCATTGAATTAACCTTTTCGGAAAAGTACCGTAACCCTTGAAACGTCTTGGTGGCTATTTAGTGGCCTAGTTACAGTAATCCCTTGGAACCGAAAGCGAATTCGGGCTTCCTGGAGATCACAGTATAGAAAAAAAGGCCAAAATCATTGCAGAAATCGTTTCGGAAAAGTACCGTAACCCTTGAAACGTCTTGGTGGCTATTTAGTGGCCTAGTTACAGTAAGCCGTCGAAACCAAAAGCGAATTTGGGCTTCCTGGAGATCACAGTATAGAAAAAAAGGCCAAAATCATTGCAGAAATCGTTTCGGAAAAGTACCGTAACCCTTGAAACGTCTTGGTGGCTATTTAGTGGCCTAGTTACAGTAAGCCTTCGAAACCAAAAGCGAATTTGGGCTTCCTGGAATGCACAACACTAAAAAAACATGGAAATTCGCTACAGTAGCAAAAAATGGGAAAAAGTTAAATGGTGGAAAAAGCTACCGTAACCCTCTACCCCCGCTAGCACATTTCAATTCGAATTTTCGGTTTCTCCGGTGATTTCTCCAAATCCGTTCCTCCTTCCATCGCCAAATTCGTGTGATCATTAAACTCTGGTCCATTTTCTTCTTCGATTATTCTGAAAATGGAGAAATTGTTTCAAGTTTACCCTTTCCAACAAAAAAACTACTCTATTTTACAGCGATTTTCAAATCTCTTATTTATTTTGGACGTTCTGGAGGGCACTATGGAAAAAGAAAAGCTCAAAAACTCAAAAACTATAAAAAAACAATTTGTCTATAAGTTACAGTAACCCTAAAAACTAAAGCCTGCCCTAGTTACAGTAATCCTTAGAGTAAACCCTCAATTTGAGGTGTTTTTTGGACGAACTGGAGCTCACGCTAAGCGATCCGCGCTTCAAATCAAATAAAAATCGCCAAATGACAAACTGGATTACTGTAGTTTTTGCACCTTTTAGGAAACGTTAGTCGAACAATTTTTAGCCAAACCTTTCCACTAACGGTTGATTCCTGGTCTCAGGCAGGAAACACAACGAAACGATCCATTGAACGCTGAGGAAAACGGTGAAAGCCGAGTAGGGGGCGATGAACGAGAAAGAATCGAGGCTGACAACCTGTTCATAGGAAATTGTGTAGTTTATGGAATGGGGATGCATTCTTTTTGCATAAAATTTGGCAGATCTGGATGTCACTTTAGTAGCCCAGCCTTTGCCGGGACCCCGAAAATCAATTTCGGCAAAATAGTTATTTAGATGACGTCACTTTTTCGGAGATTATTTTAAAAAGCTTTCTTTTTCAATTCTAGGATTTGGAAAAGCTGTTGTGATATCCAGGTCTGCCATTAAAAGTCTAATCTTGTGCGGAGGGTGCAGCGACACTGCCGAATCGGCCGCCGATATTACACTTTGGAAATTGTGTAGCTTATAGAATGGAAACACATCCTTTTTACATAAAATTTGGCCGATCTGGATGTCAGCCAAGATTCAGCTTTTGTTCGGACTCGAAGAATCGATTTCAGCAAAAAAATTTTTTGGATGACGTCACTTTTTCAGAGATTTTTTTGAAAAGCTTTTTTTTCAATTCTAGGATTTGGAAAAGCCGTTGTGATATCCAGATCTAAGTTTAGAATCAATTTTTGTACCCAGGGTGCAGCGACACTGCCCAATCGGCCTCCAATATTGCACACAGCTCGCGCCATCGTTCGCACAGCCGTCGGGAAGAGCTCAGCCGAGTAGAGGTGGTTCACCTAGCTCCCGGATTTTAAAAGCGACAAGAATTTGACTCACTTTCCAAGCCGGATCAATGGAAGCGGCGGCGATCACCGACAAAACACCGTACAGCCAACTCGTCGACGGTAGGCCGAGGAAATAACTGAAATTATCTTTTTAAAGATTTCTAAGATCTTTGAGCGCCTCACATTGCCAAAATCGAGTAGCTAGCTGTACAGGCGACTCCTAAAGACAAGAGAACGAGGGGTCGACGCCCGACGAATGACAAGAGAAACGGGATGAGGCCGCAAAAGAACTAAAAACGATATGAAACGACGGTTTTTTGAGTTTGGATTTGTAAAAGCTGGATGTCACACTATAATCTGAATACTTTAAATTATTCAAATTATGATAAAATAGCAAGGTCAAGTTTTGGGAGATTTGTCATCACTTTTCCCAAGATTTTTCAAACTGTGCGTTCTCTATGTGCTCAAACGCTCACCATCTAGCATACTAGACTGTCAAACGAACCTTTAAAAAGTCCCATTACCGCAAAATTCGTAAGACGATTTCCGGGAATTGTATCGATGAACAGATAATAACTGAAATTTGGGATTCTTGGAAGAAATAAAACTTGAATTCACCCAAATGAGACGATACTCGACGAAACGAAACAATACGTGAGCGCGAGAAGCGGTTTCCGAATGCTCCGGAATCTAGAATTTAAAATTTGACTTGATTACGGTAACTGTAGCTGGAAATACGTTCTTCTAGATAAAATATAGTCTTTTAGAATGGAAATGCATCCGTTTTACATAAAATTTGGTCAATCTGGATGTCAGTCTAAAAGTTCAGCCTTTGCCGGGATCCCGAAAATCGATTTCGCCAAAATAGTTATTTCGATGACATCACTTTCTGGGAGATTTTTTTGAAAGGCTTTCTTTTTCAATTCTATTATCTGGAAAAGCGGTTGTGCCATCCAGATCTGATCTTAAGAGTCAAATTTTGTGCCGAAGGTGCAGCGACACTGCCGAATCGGCCCACGACATTGAACATTGGAGATTGTGTGGCTTATAGAATGAAAATACATTCTTTTTACATAAAATTTGGCCGATCTGGATGTCACTTTAGAAGTTCAGCCTTTGCCGGGACTCCAAAAATCGATTTCGGCAAAATAGTTATTTAGATGACGTCACTTTCTCAGAGATTATTTTAAAAAGCTTTATTTTTCAATTCTATTATCTGAAAAAGCTATTGTGATATCCAGCTCCGATCTTAAAAGTCAAATTTTGTACCTAGAGTGCAGCAAAACTGCTGAATTAGCCGCCGATCTTGCACACGGCCACTTAATGAACTGTCTTCAATAAATCTCAAAACCAAAGCCAAATCTAGGCATTCTGGAAGGCACGCTGCAGAAAACAAAGAAAAAATAAGCTGAAATAGCTGTCTGGAAAAACTGTCTGAAAAAGTACAGTACCCTTAAACGATTAGGAAGGCTATATAGTGCATTTTCTACAGTAAGTCTCAAATCCAAAAGCATATTCAGGCATTCTGGAGGTCACACTGCAAAATAAAAAAGAAATCTGCTACAGCAATCCTATAAAAAAACTTAAAAGCTAAAAAATGACGTCATCGAATTTCGTCAAACTCTTGCCTGAGTATTTTTATCATTCAAAAGCCCACAAAAACAAAACTTTCCCTCACTTCAACAAATCCAGATACAGATAATTCTTTGTGTGCTCCGATTCGCGGGTTTTCCCACGAGAAGCAGCCTGAAGCAAGAATTCAGCTCCATCAGCGGCACCTGAAAATTTTCAAAGACGTCAAAAGTTCTCAATTCTAACTGCAAATTTCCTCGTGACATCCAGGATGCAAATTTTGTTTGTCGGAAAATATGGGTTACGGTAATTTTGTCAATGTTTAGAGTCAGTCAAAAATCTGGGGAGTCACTTTTTTAAAGCTTTCGTTTTCCAAATCTTTTAATTCCATTCTTCCTCGTGACATCCAGGATGCAAATTTTGTTTGTCGGAAAATATGGGTTACGGTAATTTTGTCAATGTTTAGAGTCAGTCAAAAATCTGGGGAGTCACTTTTTTAAAGCTTTCGTTTTTCAAATCTTTTAATTCCATTCTTCCTCGTGACATCCAGGATTCAAATTTTGTTTGTCGGAAAATATGGGTTACGGTAATTTTGTCAATGTTTAGAGTCAGTCAAAAATCTGGGGAGTCACTTTTTTAAAGCTTTCGTTTTTCAAATCTTTTAATTCCATTCTTCCTCGTGACATCCAGGATTCAAATTTTCGGCGCTAAAAATTCGTTACCGTTTTTCTTGATGACTTTTTGGGCGACGTTGACCGCGTCGCGGACCCGATTCTTCGACGCCAACCACCGCACGCTTTCCATTGACCAAAGGTACTGAAATTTGTTGTTTCTTGTTGGATTTGGCGTCAAATACCAATGAAATGAAGACGAGTGAGGCGATGCAGGCGGTCGTGAGAAAATACGGCCGCCAATGCGCCGAAAAATACGCCAACCCGGCCGTCATCGCCATTGATAAGGGCCAGCCGTTTACTGAAAATTCATTTTTAAGTTTTAAACACGTACTGTGACGTCCAGGATTTCGAAATTTTGAATTTAAACTTAGAAAAGTTTGCTGGTTGCCGAGAAAACCCGAGCATCTCGTTTCGAAGGTTAAACGGTGGACTAATGACGTCATCCTTTAACTCTAACATTGAATTCATGTCTTCTGGAGGTCACGACAGGGAAAGAAATAGATAAAATCACTGTGGAAATCATGTCTGAAAAGCTACCGTAACCCTGGCTGGCTGGCTACCGTAACACCATTGATAATCGGCTGAATATCCGAATTTTTTGATTTTCAATGTGTAGTGTGACTTCCAGGATTTCAAAATTTTAAATAAAAATCCAAAATCGACGAACCACAAACGACCAAAAGCCGAGATCTCGATGTGCACAAAAATTCGACCACCAGAGTCAAATTCACCACCTGAAAATGGGTGTTTTTGCATAAGTTTACCGATCTTTTACCATATATCCACCACAGGCGGCGCCGAGAACACCCAGAATGGCGGTGGTGAAGATCCAGTTGAGCTCGCCGACGAGAGAAACGACGAGACAGCCGAACGAGATGCACAGGAGGGTACCTGAGTGAATTTGAGTGGATAAATGTTGGAAAGTATAGAAAGTTTGCGATCGATTGTCAATTCTGGATGTCACAGCGGGGTTTAAGTGAATCAAATCTTAAAAAAGTCGATTCTGGGAAAAGTGCAAAGTGGCGTGTAGTGAGCTGGACGGTTTTGTAGCTACAGTAAGACAGGATGTCGAAAATGCAAGTTCGATGTTGGATTCTGGATGTCACAACAGAGATTAAACAAATAAAATCTTAGAAAAACGGATTCGGGGAAAAGCGTAAAAGTGGAGTTTAGTGGCTGGACTGTTTTGTAGCTACAGTAAGACAGGATGTCGAAAATTTGCAATCGATCATCAATTCTGGATGTCACAGCGGCGATTAGGCCGATAAAATCTTAAAAACGCCGATTCTGGCAAAAGTGCAGAGTGGAGTGTAGTGAGCTGGACTATTTTGTAGCTACAGTAAGACAGAATGTCGAAAATTTAAATTGGATCCTGGATTCTGGATGTCACTAGAGAATTTGCGTAGTCAAGACTTTCAAAATCTAGAGAACTAACCCAAAATGGCCGGCCTTCTCCCATAAGTGTCAGCGATGTAGCCGGTGAGGAAAGCGCCGGCCAAGCCGCCCAACATGATTGCTGTGGAGACGATGCTCTTGACACTGAAAAGGAAACATTATTTAGTTTACTTGGAAACATTTTCGCATCAAAATATTGGGAAATTTCAAAGTACTAAACTCGATTTTCGACTTTGACTGAATATCTTTTAAATAAAGGTAATAAATTAAAAACTGAAGTACCCAGGCATTAAGCTGGATATCACATAACATTACTAGAATGATAGATTGGCTTGGGCAAGCTTTCTTTCAAAGGGCTAAACTCGGTTTGGACTTTGACTGAATATCTTTTAAATAAAGCTAATAAATTAAAAATTGAAGTACCCAGGCATTAAGCTGGATATCACATAACATTTCTAGAATAATAGATCAGCTTGGGCATGCTTTCTTTCAAAGTGCTAGACCAGCTTTCGACTTTGACTGAATATCTTTTAAACAAAGCTTAAAATCTAAGAATTGATTTACCCAGGCATTAAGCTGGATATCACATAACATTTCTAGAATGATAAATCGGCTTTGGGACCTATTAGGACCGGCTTAGGGGCCTACATCACTTTGCTAGCCTCGATCACTTGAAAGTGTGCGTACCTTTCATGTCATAGGAAAAAGCGGGATCTGGCACACGGGTCTATGTGGGAAAATAGGCCCCGGTTTAATTACCCAATTTTTTTTCATATTTTATTTTTCGGACTTTTTGGGCTTTAGGGACATGCTGTGACTTCCAGAATTTCGAAATTCAATAAAATTTAGCTTCTTTTAAAACCCACTTCGGTTGTTTACACGCCAAGTCCCACTCCAGTAGCAGCGAGTGAAAATCGAGCTCAATTTCAGCGTTTATTGTCCCATTTTTGCCACAATAGCCCTGGAATTTCGGGTTTTCAGGGGAATTGGTCTTTTTTTTACCGCTGGTGGACTGAAAATCGAGGTAACAAGCAGACAAGCGGCAATCGGTAAATAGCCGAGTTGTGTAAGGACAAGGAGGACAATCTAAAAAAAAAAAAAAAAATTTCCTAATAAAACGATGGAAATTTTTGTTTCAGCTTCAAGTGTGCGTTCCAGATTGCAGAATTAAATTTGTAAAAACTTATAAAATGCAAATTTTCTTGACGTTTTCGTGCCAAACTTTTTCGTGCGTACTCCAGAGACAGAGAATTCGAAAATTTGCATTTTTTTTGATTCAAAGCTCAAAGTGACCTCCAGATCGAGCAATAAAAAAGAAATTATTTCTGAATTTGTCAAATTTCCGATTATTTTACTCCGAACGTCTCACGGGTGCTCTAGATGTGCTAAAGGCAAAATTATGGCTCGATTTGAATTCCAAAGCGCAAAGTGACCTCCAGATTGATGAATGCAGGTGAAAGCGTTGCCAATTACCGGCAATTTTCACCAGATTTCACTTCAAAATGGAAACTTGCAAAAAAAAACTTTTTTTTCACTACCTGATACTTCGAGAAATCCTTCAGCGTATTGTCGATGCATTTCGGCGATTTTTCCGAGGAGTCTTTAAGAGAAGAGCATTCGGACGAGTTCTCTTCCATCATTCCTGCAAAAAAGTAAAAGGATTTAGAATAAAATGATAAAAAAAGTGGGTAATTGATCGAATTTCGAAAAAGCTTAAAATTTTGATTTTAACGATTTCTGATTGACTCAAAACCCGTTGTGTCATCCAGGATTTGGTTTGGAAAGAAATGGAAACCGATTCGAGGCGATTAGTGCCGAATTTGGGTTGTGGGAACGCTCCTGAAAGCGCTGAGGGGTGATCTCTGTGCGGCCACGTAATCGCTCGCCGTCTGGCACAAGGCCCTAGCGGATAGGGGAACGGGGGAAGGCTGAAACAGCTTTTCAGACCATCCTCTGTGCGGCCACGTAATCGATCGCCGTCTGGCACAAGGCCCTAGCGGATAGGGGAACGGGGGAAGGCTGAAACAGCTTTTCAGACCATCCTCTGTGCGGCCACGTAATCGATCGCCGTCTGGCACAAGGCCCTAGCGGATAGGGGAATGGGGGAAGTCGGGAAAGACTTTTCAGACCGTCCTCTGTGCGGCCACGTAATCGCTCGCTGTCTGGCACAAGGGGGGAAGGGATAGGGGAATGGGGGAAGTCGGGAAAGACTTTTCAGACCGTCCTCTGTGCGGCCACGTAATCGCTCGCTGTCTGGCACAAGGGGGAAGGGATAGGGGAATGGGGAAGTCGGGAAAGACTTTTCAGACCGTCCTCTGTGCGGCCACGTAATCGCTCGCTGTCTGGCACAAGGGGGGAAGGGATAGGGGAATGGGGGAAGTCGGGAAAGACTTTTCAGACCGTCCTCTGTGCGGCCACGTAATCGCTCGCTGTCTGGCACAAGGGGGGAAGGGATAGGGGAATGGGGGGAGTCCGGAAAGGCTTTTCAGACCGTCCTCTGTGCGGCCACGTAATCGCTCGCTGTCTGGCACAAGGGGGGAAGGGATAGGGGAATGGGGGGAGTCCGGAAAGGCTTTTCAGACCGTCCTCTGTGCGGCCACGTAACCGCTCGCTGTCTGGCACAAGGCCCTGGTGGATAGGGGAATGGGGGGGAAGTCCGGAAAGGCTTTTCAGACCGTCCTTTCATCGACTAATTCATTCAGATGCTACTTTCCGTTTGGCATTTCTGTGGGCATTGCGCTAGCCGACCAGAATCCTTAGAAAGCTTTGAAAGAGGCAAACTAGAAAACCAATAACGAAGTGAATTTTAGCTATCTGGAGCGCACACCAAACAGTTCACAGCTCTGAATACTAACTTCTCAAAAAAAACCCAGCTCTCACTATCAGGAGAGTACAAGATTGGCATCAACTATCCTACCAGATTGGTTCAAAATTTTTGAATTGGCCAAGAATGGGTTTTCTGGAGCGCACACTAATCACGAGGCTTTAACACATTCACAACGAAGCCATACGAAGCCATGCGACAATACGGCAGCCATAGCAGCGTCTCCAAACTCTTGGAACGCCTTGAAAGGGGCAAAAAGAAGAAAATGCTTTGAGAATCGGCGAGATTCTGGCTTTCTGGAAGGCACTTATTGCCATTCAGAAGATGTTTGCTTTAGTTTATCATTTCGGATCGAGTCACCCCATAATCTAGTCTGAATACCGATGTCTACCTATTCTAGGCTGAATATCCTATTCTAGATTGAATACCGTAATCCAGACAGTCTACACTGAATACCGTAATCTAGACTGAACACCCTAATCTAGACTAAATCCTGATTTCCAAAAAAATAAAAAAATTTAAAATCTGATTTCCACAAATTCACGTGTGACATCCAACTAAGAAAATCCCAAAATTTCAAAAAAATTCTGATGATTTAAAGTAGAATTTTTGATGAGGCAAGGAATTTGACGGCCGGTCGATCGTCAAAATCGTCAAAAACTGGCTTAAGAAAACTCATAGAAAGGGAAATTTTGAGGGGAAAATTGAGGCCAGCGGAATTTAAAGGAAAACGCGTAGATTGTGACCAAAAAAAAGAAACAGAATTGATCGTAAAAATAAAGAAAAATTCGGGAATTTCCCGTCATTTTCGTGACTTTTTTTTTGAATGCAAAAATCAGCAAACTCAAAGGAGAAAATGATAAGGGGAAATATGGGCGATCGAGGGGAAAATAGATGAACAAAGGAAAGTCGAAAGATCAGGCTTTGAAAGGAAATTAGTTTTAACGAAAAGCTATTCAGATGAGAGTTTTGAAGTGCCCAATTTGCCCCATTTGGCCCAATTTGGCCCAATTTGGTCACTTCAATATTGTAAAGTTTAGGAAATTTGTGATCGATTGTCGATTCTGGATGTCAGGACAGGGTTTGGCTAGAGAAAATCGACCAGAAACCCATTCTGGGGAAAGTGCAGAATGAGGCGAACGGGTTTGAAGGGTTTCTAAGCCAGCAACGGGTCCTGGGCTAACAATTTTTGGCCGATTGTCGATTCTGGAAGTCAGTACACGGTTTGACTAGAGAAAATCCACGAGAAACCTATTTTGAAAAAGTGCAACAAGGAGTAAACTCGTTCGACGTATTTCTAAGCCATCACTTGGTCCAAGATCAAAAATTTTTAGCTGATTGTCAATTCTGGATGTCACACTAGCGCTTGAGTAGGAAAAATCCAAAAGAAACCAATTTTTTAAAAAGTACAAGAATCAGACAAAGGAGTTCGAGGTGTTTCTAAGCCAGCAACGGATCTTGGGCTAACAATTTGCGATCGATTATCAATTCTGGATGTCAGGACAGGTTTTGGATGAATAAAACACCAGCTAAACCTAAAATTTTCAATCAAAAACAGCGAATCGATCGATTGGGGGTGAAGAAAAGAGAGAAATCGTGTTGCTGCCGAAATTTTCGAAAAACATTTTAAAGATTTAGTTTTTTTCAGCAGAAATCGACGATCTGGAGTGCACAAAAGGTTTTGGTCAAGAAAAAATCGGGACTCAAATCACGGGAAATTTTCGGAGTTTTTGTGTCGAGGAGCCTAAACGGTCCAAGTGCCGACTCGAAAATCAAAATCAGCTCTAATCAAATTTCTATTAATCCAAACAGCTTCTGTGACATCCAGGATATACAAATTTTACAGAATCAAAGAAAGTTTTTGTTCGAAAAGTGACAAAATTGTCTCAAAATCGTCTGCTCGGTTTGGCCTCTTATAAACTCAGCCTCAATCGAATTTCTATTAATCCAAACAGCTTCTGTGACACCCAGGATATGCAAATTTTACAAAATCAAGAAACTTTTTTCTTGTGGAAGTACAAAAATTGACTCAAAATCGTCAGCTCGGTTTAGCCTTTTACAAAATCAGCCCCAATCAAATTTCTATAAATGCAAACATCTTCTGTGACACCCAGGACGTGCAAATTTTCCTGTATCAAAGAAAGTTTTTGTTGGAAAAGTGAAAAAAATGACCCAAAATCGTGCGCTCGGTTTGGTCGAAAAGGAAAGCTAAATTTAACGATGAAAAAGGCGCAAAAACACGGAAATTATCGATTTGTGGTGATGGGGAAAAGCATCTGGGACGCACAGCAGCTTTTGGTCAAGAAAAATCGGGGCTCTGAGAAATTCTGGATGTCGGGGATTTGAGCCTGACCGGATCGATCCAAGATTCGAGACGAGCTTGTTTTAGCGGGGTTTTTTCGGTCTTTGGATGGTTTTTTTTTGTTTTTTCCGAGGAATTGGGAAGCACACTTGGTAATGGGATGAAAATTGGATATGGAAAGATGTAAAATTTGAAAATGTTTTGGTAGAAGCTCCAGAATCGATGATCTTGAGCCAGCCCCGAACCACTTTTTCAGCTTTTGCCAAGAAAAATCGCGGAAATTATCGGAAATTTGGAGAATTATGGAAAAAAAGAAAAAGATTACGGAAAAAAAACCGCGAATCGATCGATTTGGGGTCAAGAAAAGAGAAAAACGAGTTGCTGCCGAAATTCTTGAAATGCCGTCGAAGATCTCGTTTCTTTTCTGCAAGAATGGACGATCTGGAACGCACAGCAACTTTTGGCCAAAAAAAATCGGAGCTCTGAGAAATTCTGGATGTCGGGCTTTTGAACCTGACCGGACCGATCCAAGTGCCCACTCGAAAATCAAAATCAAGTCGAATCAAATTTCTATCAATCCAAACATCTTCTGTGACATCCAGGATATGCAAATTTTACAGAATGAAATGAAGTTTTTCTTGTGAGAGTGAAAAAATTGACTCAAAATCGTCTGCTCGGTTTAGCCTTTTACAAAACCAGCCCCAATCAAATTTCTATCAATGTAAATTTCTTCTATGACATCCAGGATATGCAAATTTTACAGAATGAAATGAAGTTTTTCTTGTGAAAGTGAAAAAATTGACTCAAAATCGTGCGCTCGGTTTGGTGAGATTTTTCGATTTATCAAAAGAGATTTATTTTGTGATTTCTAAGTGTTGTGCGTTCCAATATGACTAAAAAATTGATATTTATAAAATTTCAGAAATTTTTATAGTTTCTAGAGATCTGAAGTTGACAAGGGCTAATTGGAGATTCAGCAGGGAATCGGGAAAAGGGGATTTTCGATAAAATGACATGGATGTCTGGGAAATCAATGGCAAAAAAAAAATAACAAAAAAAATAATTGTTTCCTGTCATTTCCCTTGGCAAAAAGTGCTTTTTGAGTTACGTAAAAAAATGCAATAATTGTTTTTTGAAAAAATCGTCATAGTGCAAGAATGGAAGGCTCAAAATACGTAGTGACATCCAACTTTTAGAAATCGAAACGAATTTTCCAGACATTTTGAAATCTCGAAGAAATTCGGCTTCAAAGTCTTGCCATTGCAAAGGCAAAATTTTAAAATGCAATTTTGCGGAAAATTTTTCATCGAAAGAATAGAGTGACATCCAGATTGCATAAAACAATTTGAATTTCTAGGAAATCAAAAATTCTAAACACAATTTGCTTAGTCGGTTTAGTTACGTAATCGTGATTTCTCAAAAAAATCGCTTTTAGTGAGAAAAAGCCTCTCAAATACAAAGCCAATACAAAATGCCCTCAATAATTACAAAAAATAATTGAGGGGAAGTAATTTGAATCAAATTTTCCAAAGAATTGAGGCTATTTGGAAAAAGTGGGCGGGGCTTGGACTTCAGAAAAATGGGGCGGGCTCGAAAAACTCTAATTACAAAAAATTGGGAAAATTTTGAAAGCAATTAATAGTGTGACATCCAGATATTAGAAATCGGTTTATATTTTTTGAGAAGCATGCCAGAAAACGAGCGTTTACGCGAGAACAAAGTACATGGTTTGATGGAAATCAAGAATAGCTCCAAATTTCACAGAAATATTTGTAAACTCTTTTGTGACTTCCAGAACAGAAATAGGATTTAGAAAAAAGATAATTGGTGCTCCAGAAACGAGTGTTTACGCGAGAGCAAAGTACACGGTCCGATGAAAATCAAGAATAGCTCCAAATTGCATAAAAACCTTTCGAAACTTTCGTGTGACTTCCAGGACAGCAATAAGATTTAGAAAAAAGATAATTGGTGCGCCAGAAACGAGTGTTTACGCGAGAGCAAAGTACACGGTTTGATGGAAATCAAGAATAGCTCCAAATTTCACAAAAATATTCGAAAACTCTTTTGTGACTTCCAGGACAGACGAATAACAACTTCATTTTCAGAAACACAACTCGAAAAGGGTTTCCCGGCGCGGCGTCCCGATTCTCCCATTCTCGCTCGTTCCACCGGGGCCGACTGTTTGTCCGCCCCGTTTTCTGCTCAAAATGTCAACAAATCTCCCGAGATAAACACTCACTTTTTTTCCAAAGAAAACCATCTTCAAATAAAAATGATCCGAAAAGAAAGGGAAATGCTTAAAATTGAGGGATTTATTTCAAGAAAAACCCAGCTTGAAAAAGATTGGCTTTAAAAAATGAAAATCTTAGAGAAAAGTGGTAATTTTAAGCCAAAAATCGTTCAATCTGGTAGGCAACTTAGTGATCTTCAGCATTTAGAGACCAAATGATGGAATTTAAAAATTTCGAAAATGAAGATTCGAGACGAGCTTGTTTTAGCGGGGTTTTTTCGGTCTCTGGATGGTTTTTTTTTGTTTTTTCCGAGGAATTGGGAAGCACACTTGAAAATGGGATAGAAATTGGATATGGAAAGATATAAAATTTGAAAAAGTGTTGGTGAAAGCTCCAGAATCGATGATCTTGAGCCAGCCCCGAACCGCTTTTTCAGCTTTTGCCAAGAAAAATCGCGGAAATTATCGGAAATTTGGAGAATTATGGAAAAAAAGAAAAAGATTACGGAAAAAAAAACCGCGAATCGATCGATTTGGGGTCAAGAAAAGAGAAAAAACGAGTTGCTGCCGAAATTCTTGAAATGCAGTCGAAGATTTCGTTTCTTTTCTGCAAGAATGGACGATCTGGAACGCACAGCAGCTTTTGGTCAAGAAAAATCGGAGCTCTGAGAAATTCTGGATGTCGGGCTTTTGAGCCTGACCGGACCGATCCAAGTCCTCACTCGAAAATCAGAATCAACTCCAATCAAATTTCTATTAATGCAAACACCTTCTGTGACATCCAGGATATGCAAATTTTACAGAATCAAAGAAAGTTTTTGTTCGAAAAGTGACAAAATTGTCTCAAAATCGTCTGCTCGGTTTGGCCTCTTATAAACTCAGCCTCAATCGAATTTCTATCAATGCAAATTTCTTCTGTGACTCCCAGCATAAATAAATTTTACAAAATCAACAAACTTTTTTGTTGGAAAAGTGAAAAAATTCACTCAAAATCGTCAGCTCGGTTCGCTATTTACAAAATCAGCCCCATTCAAATGTCTATTAATCCAAGCATCTTCTGTGACATCCAGGACGTGCAAATTTTCCTGTATCAAAGAAAGTTTTTGTTGGAAAAGTGAAAAAAATGACCCAAAATCGTGCGCTCGGTTTGGTCGAAAAGGAAAGCTAAATTTAACGATGAAAAAAGCACAGAAAACGAAAATTATGGATTTATAGTGATGGGGAAAAGGGAAATGAACGATCGGAGTGAAAGTCGAGAAATGGGAAAGATCGAAAAGTCGAGCCGATCAGCCGGCGATTAGAAAAAGAGGGAAACGGGAAAATCTCGGGATTGCGACCACAACCTGGCACAAATGTTTTGATTGTAATCAGATTTTTGATCGATTGTCGATTTCCTGACGACTCTGGATGTCAGGAGAGAGGTTTGGCTGGAGAAAATCGACGAGAAACCCATTTTGGGAAAAGTGTAGAATGAGGCGAACGAGTTCGAGATGTTTCTAAGCCAGCAACAGATCCTGGGCTAACAATTTTTGACCGATTGTCGATTCTGGAAGTCAGTACACGGTTTGACTAGAGAAAATCCACGAGAAACCCATTTTGAAAAAGTGCAACAAGGAGTAAACTCGTTCGACGTATCTCCAAGCCATCACTTGGTCCAAGATCAAAAATTTTTAGCCGATTGTCGATTCTGGATGTCACACTAGCGTTTGAGCGAAGAAAATTCAGAAGAAAGTCATTTCGAAAAAAAAATGTAACAATGAGACAAACGAGTCCGTGGCGTTTTTAAGCCAGCAATTGATCCAATCCAAAAAATTCGTGTTGGAGACTAAAATCTGGATGTCAGGACAGGATTTGGGTGAATAAATCTCCAGCTAAACCTAAAAATTTTCAAAGAAAAATTTCAGCTGAGTATGGGAAGATTCTGCGTCACTAATCCGTTTTCAGAAAAAAACTCGCATCTGTAAAATGAAAGCTGGATGGCACTGGAGGTTTAAAGAAAGGAATTCCCAGAATTTGAGCTCTATTTTCTAACTTCTCTACAGTAGTTTCTATAGAAACAGTCTGTCTACAGTAAGCCGCTTCCCGATTTCGTTTTCTAAACCGTTTTCCATTCCTAACAGAATTTAAATTAGTCAATAAACGGTTTTTTGGCTAATCTGGAAGGCACTAGGAATTTTCCAAAGCTTAGAAATTCAAAATTTGCATTTCAGCTATTCTACCGGACCGGTTCCTAAACCGTGCCCTTTTCCCTTTTCACCGTAATCCAGATCAGTCTGTTAACGGTTTTTTGGCTAATCTGGAAGGCACTAGGAATTTTCCAAAGCTTGAAACTTTAAAATTAGCAGTTTTATCCATTGGTTCCTAAACCGTGCCCTTTTCTCTTTCTGCCGTAATCCAAAGCAGTCTGTTAACGTTTTTTTGGCTAATCTGGAAGTCACTAGGGATTTTCCAAAGCTTAGAAATTCAAAATTTGCATTTCATCCATTCTACCGTACCGGTTCCTAAACCGTGCCCTTTCCCCTTTCCACCGTAATCCAAATCAGTCTATTAACGGTTTTTTGGCGGTTCTGGAAGTCACTAGGGATATTCTCAAGTTCAGAAATTCAAAAAATGATAAAAAAATTTCAAACCTTGACATTCCTCAGCGAGCACCTCTAGGGAATAGCGTTGCATCGGTGTCAAAGGCTTAATCGAATTTCTCAATCAAATAATTTTCCCATCGTTTCGAACGCCTAAAGTGACGTCCAGGATTGACGAAATTCAAGTTTAAAAAGAAAATCTAATTGTTAAAAAGAAAAAATTAAGTCAAAATCGCAAAGGGCAAGGCAAAATTGGTCAAAATCGTTTCTAAAATGGTCAAAATTCGCTAAAAAACTTCAAAATGCGGCCCAGGATGCCAAATTTTCGAGTGGAAAAAGTCGTAATTTCAGCTGTGAGCGGCATTGGGTCGATAAAGTCCATGAGCCTCTGACCGATCTCGGTTCTCCGCGAATTCTCCGATATTTCGGCGGAAAAGCCCTTTCCCTCATCCAAATTCATCCATCCTGGGAATCACAGAGGCCAACGGGAAAAGAGAAAATTTAAAAAGAGCCATTTGGCGCCGAAACGAAAAACACCCAAAAATAGCTTTTTTTAAAAGATATTCAGCTAAAGAATGGGCAAAAATTAGTGGCCCGGTGGATACGTTTTCTCAAGTAAAAAAGAAAAAGGAAGCTAAAAAAGGGAAAGAACTCTCAAAACGCTTTACGATTTTAGTGGTCAGTCCGCTTTTTGAGCGTCCCACTAAAGCAAAATCTCAATTTTCCATTTTTTTCCGTTTTTTACAAAATCAGCCCCAATCAAATTTTTATCAATGCAAATTTCTTCTGTGACATCCAGGATATGTAAATTTTATAGAATCAAGAAACTTTTTTGGTCGGAAAGTGACAAAATTGACCCAAAATCCTCGGCTCGTTTTAGCGTTCTCCAAAACCAACTCCAATCAAATTTCTATCAATGCAAACATCTTTTGTGACATCCAGGATATGCAAATTTCACAGATTCAAATAAAGTTTTTCTTGTGAGAGTGGAAAAATTGACTCAAAATCGTCGGCTCAGTTTAGCCTTTGACAAAACCCACTCCAATCAAATTTCTATCAATGCAAATTTCTTCTGTGACATCCAGGATATGCAAATCTTACAGAATTAAATAAAGTTTTTCTGGTGAAAGTGGAAAAATTGATTCAAAATCGTCTACTCGGTTTGGCCCCTACAAAACCAACTCCAATCAAATTTCTATCAATGCAAATTTCTTCTATGACATCCAGGACGTGCAAATTTTCCAGTATCAAGGAAATTTTGCGTTCGACATGTGATAAATTTATCTCAAAATCGTCGGCTTGGTTTGGCCTTTACAAAACCAACTCCAATCAAATTTCTATCAATGCAAACATCTTTTGTGACATCCAGGATATGCAAATTTTACGAAATCAAGAAACTTTTTTGTTGGAAAAGTGACAAAATTGGCTCAAAATGGTCTGCTCGATTTGGCCTCTTATAAAATCGACCCCAATCAAATTTCTATCAATGCAAATTTCTTCTGTGACATCCAGAATATGCAAATTTTACAGAATCAAGAAAGTTTTTAGTTCGAAAAGTGAAAAATTTGACTCAAAATCGTGCGCTCGGCTGGGTGAAAAGTAAAATTTTGCAAAACGAGCTTTCATTTCGCAATTTCTAAGTGTACTCTGCTCCAATTTAGTTAAAAAAATTGATTTTTACAGTAATCATTAATCGGAAACCCTTCTGTAGAGCTCTGAGCCCTCTGAATCCTTTGTAGAGCGTCGGACCAATTTTTTTGAGCTGATTCTTTGATTGAGTAAAGCAAAAAATGTTCAGAGGCAGATTTTCAGTCAAAGCTTCTTTAGAGTGACTTCCAGATTGACAGATTTTAAAAGCTCGAGATCTGGAAGTGATTTTTTGAGCCGTTTTTTGCGGCAGACTTTTTCTGGCACTCGTGAAAGCCGTTTTCTTCGAATTTTCTTCTTTTGACCTAAAAGAAAAGCTAATTTCTGTGCTTTTGCGCCTCTGTTTTGCCGGCTTTCGATTCCGTTTTGCCTTTTTGGTCGCCCGGCCAACCGAAAACGATTTGGCCATCAGAGAGAAAATCGCTCTCGAATTTTCTCTCAACTAAATCTTCTTGTTTTCTTGTTTCTCGCTTTTTTATGACGTCATTTGATTCTGTGACATCCAGAATTGGCTTTGATTTCAATTTTTAAGCGATTAGCTGAATATTTTTGACATTTTTTGAGCTGAACTCAAATTTTATTTATATCAATTGCCAAAAACGCAAAACAAGCTCCCTCTAAAAGCTGAATTCAATCGAGTGCCTTCCAGAATGGCCATTAGAATCAAAATTTCCGAAAAAACTTGCATTCTAGCCGATTTTTGGCGTCAAACTCTTTTCTCTCTTCACTTGGACGTTTTCAGATTAATCACTGGCTTTTGGACTTTAAATTTCTTCAATCTGGAATGCACTTTAATGAAATTTGCAAAAAAAAGCAAAAAACGAACTTTTTGACAACTTGTCATTTTGGTTAAGTCGTTAAAGCGTTTGGTTACCAGTCAGTCGACCCGGGTTCGAGTCCGCTGCTCGGCTTTTTGCTCGGGAAACGTTTGGAAATGAAACTCATTGCACTTTGTGACATCCAGATTGTAGGTTTTCAAAAAATTAAGCCAAAAAACTTGAATTCTAGGCGATTTTTGGCGTCAAACTCTTTTCTCTCTTCACTTGGGCGTTTTCAGATTAATTACTGTCTTTTGGACTTTAAATTTCTTCAATCTGGAATGCACTTTAGTGAAATTTGCAAAAAAAACCCAAAAACGAGCAACTTGTCATTTTGGTTAAGTGGTTAAAGCGTTTGGTTACCAGTCAGTCGACCCGGGTTCGAGTCCGCTGCTCGGCTTTTGCTCGGAAACGTTTGGAAAAGAAACTCATTGCACTTTGTGACATCCAGATTGAAAGATTTCAAAAAAATTTAAGCCTGTTGATGATCTTTTTGAGGCGAAATTTCATTTTGACGGTTTTCGGTATCTTTTAGTAACATTTTTCGTGATTTTCGTTTCTCTCCTGCCCGCCCTTTCCCCGTTTTGTCTTTTCTGGTTGCCATTTTGGCCTTCGCGACTCTTCGATGCCTTTTGTTTCTCCAGAAATTCGTTTCCAAGTAGCCAAACCATGAGACTCCAAGCACACGCCGGAAAAACAGCGCAAGCACAAGAAATCCCAAGAATTCCCTATTTAATCACCAAATTGGAAGTCACATCAGCGGTTTATTCAAAAATTTTGTAAGTTTCTTTAGAAATCTGGGCTAATGTCGGGTAGTCGATAGCTGTTCGAAGCCTTTTAGACCCCAAATTTTTCTCATCCATCAAAAATCTTTCTCATTTCCTCCAAACTGGATATCACACTTAGTTTTGACGAAAAATTTAAAGCTCTAGAGCGAATTTTTCGATTTGGCTTTGGCCTTTTCGACTTGGCCCCAAAATCCCGGGTCCTAAGGCGAATTTTGAAAAGTTTTCTTTCGATTCCTCCAAACTGGATATCACACTTAGTTTTGACGAAAAATTTAAAGCTCTAGAGCGAATTTTTCGACTTTGCTTTGGCCTTTTCGACTTGGCCCCAAAATCTCGGGTCCTAAGGCGAATTTTGAAAAAATTCCTTTCGATTCTTTCAATCTGGATGGCATTCGAAAATTTTAAGCAAAATTTGAGGCCCTGGTGTGAGATTTTAGTTTTTTGCTTTTCACGAATTTTGTTTAGGCCTGAATTCTCAACATTTATTCTGGTTTTATCGAAGCTTTTGTTATTTTAGTTTTTCCTGGGTGGCACAAGGGCTTTTGCCATGACCGGAAGTATACGAATCTAAAAAAGAAAGAAAAAAAGGGGGAAATGGAGAAAGCCCAAAAATTGGTCAAGTTACTACTTGACCAATTTTCGAGGCTGAGCTGCTTGAAGGCTGAATTTTAAGGGGAAAGACGTTCTAGAGTGTTCTAGAGTGTTCTGGAGCCTTCCAGAGCGCATTTTTCTATCTAATATTCTAGAAATTTCAAATTTTATTAATTCGTCAGTCTTGTGTGAGAAATTTCCGTTTTTCAAAAAAAAAAAGAATTTAGATGAATGGGTTGCGAGATTTCGAAGGACAGCCCGGTGGGGAAATGGATTGAAAAAGTGAGTCTGATCTAGATTTGAGTGGAGCTAGCAGCAGATTTGATGCTAATCTTGATTTTTCTGCTCTCTTGATAGTGGGAGCTGGTTTTTTAGCATTCAGGATTGTTTATTGTGCGCTCCAGATGGCTCAGATTCATTTCGTTATTGGTTTTCTAGCTCTAGAAGAAAGCCCAAATTCTGGAAGGCCTTGAAGGCTAGGCCTTCAGGATTTCCAGGGCCACTTCTGAGGCCTAGGCTCAGGCTTAGGCTTAGGGACCAGGGCCATCAGATTTCAGCTGATCTCAGATGAGCCCTAAGCCTAAGCCTAAGCCTAAGCCTGAAATTTTGTAAGCATACTCCCATGGGAGGTGCAAGCACAAGGGCAATTGCTTGCACTTTAGCTCCGAGAACTGGCTGAGATCTAGAAAATGGGAGTTCAGCCCAAACCCAAATAGACTTAGTGCTAGGCGCTAGCCGCTAGCCTTCCCACTAAGTCCAAGCCTAAGCCTAAGCCTAAGCACAAACCCAAATAGAATCAGTCTTAGCCTAGGCCTAAGCCCAAGCCTCAGCCTAAGCCTCAGCCTAAGCCTGATCCCAAACAGACTCAGTTTTAGCCGAGTCTAGGTCCAAGCCTCATCCCAGGCTCAGGCTTAGGGACCAAGGCCATCAGATTTTTAGAGCTGATTTTTTAGCATTCAGATCCGAAGATTGTTTATTGTGCGCTCCAGATTTCAGGCTCAGATTTCAGATGAGCCCAAGCCTAAACCCAAGCCAAAGCCTAAGCCTGAGCTTAAGCCTAAGCCTGATCCCAAACAGACGCAATCTTAGCCGAGACTGAGTCCAAGTCTAGGTCCAAGCCTCAGCCCAAGCCCACAGCGCAATGATAAACGGAAAGAAACATCTTTTGAATGATTTGGTTCTGACGAAAGGGTTTTATCAACTGCCTCCATTGCCCTATCCACCCGGACAGTGTGCCAGACGGCGAGCGATTACGCGGCCACATAGAGAACACCAATAGGGGCTTTTCAGAATGGACTTTCCAGGATGGGCTTTCCAGGATTTCAGGATTCCAAAACTTGGCCTAAATCCTCTGGAATCGATTTCCTTTCTTTTCTAAATGCAATCCTGGAACGCACAACGGGTTTTGCATTGATCAGAAATTGTTAATTCATCGATTTTATTTTTCTCATTTGGTGACTCGGATCTTCTCTAGAATTAGCTTAAAATTCAAGTTTTTTCAGATTTGATTTCACTTTTTAGGAAGCTAAAACATTTCTGCGTTAAATAGTACTAATAATAGTACTTTTAGATGTCACTAGTACGTCAAATAGTACCATCAAATAGTACCATCAATTTTCAGGATAAATCCGGACCAACAAAAGTTCATCCAGTCGACATCCAGACGACACTTCGCCCAAAAACCACTCCCGGTGTGCATTTGAGTCAATCGGAGTTGAAAAAGACCCAGATTTACCAGATTTACAAAAAGCGAAACAAAGCAAGAAGTGGGGAAAGAAGAGAAAGAAAAAGAGGCGAAAGAGACGAAAAAGGAGAAGGAGACAAGTTTGTGGTTTTTGGAATTGAATAGCTGACAAGAATTTGACAAGAACTTGGTTTCAGTACTTCCAGAAAAGGATTTGGCTTCGGTTCCAAGACTAGTAAACCAGAACGATACTAGTTTTGAACTAGAAACTAGTAACTAGAATCCTAGTCTAGTTTGAAAGAAACAATTACTAAACTAGTCTAGTTCTATGTCTTAGAGCCTTCTAGACCAAGTACTAAGCCGGCTTGCCAGAGCCAGAGCTGAGCCAGAGCCAGAGCTGAGCCAGAGCCAGAGCTGAGCCAGAGCCAGAGCTGAGCCAGAGCCAGAGCTGAGCCAGAGCCAGAGCTGAGCACTACTCTTGAGCTAACTGGGGAACTGTTTCAGCTTTTCAACCGACTTTCGAAAACTACAAAACGTTCCCGTAGAATTCTAAGAGACATGTATTTTTGATTATTTTCCCATTGGCCCTGGTTTGTTTGGGAAAAGTTGAAGTTCAGTGACTGGTGTGTTTTGTAGCTACAGTAAGACAGGATGTCGAAAATTTGCAATCGATCATCAATTCTGGATGTCACAGCAGGGTTTGGAGTGGAATGAAATCTTAGAAAAACGGATTCTGGGAAAAGGCGCAAAGTGGAGTGTAGTGAGCTGGAGTTTTTATAGCTACAGTAAGACAGAATGTCGAAAATTTGCAATCGATCATCAATTCTGGATGTCACCGCAGGGTTTAAGGGTATAAAATCCTGAGAAGCGGCTTTTGGGAAAAGCGTAAAAGTGGAGTTTTAGTGACTGGTGTGTTTTGTCGCTACAGTAAGACAGAATGTCGAAAATTAAGTTGGATCCTGGATTCTGGATGTCACAGCAGAGGTTAAACAAATAAAATCTTAGAAAAACGTGTTCAAAGTTTTGGCAATTTTTGGCAAACCTCACCTTCGCGAGCAAGAAGGCGAGATGCCGAAAGGCAGCAAGGCTAACAGTGGCCAAGGGGGTGGTGTTCTAGACTTTAAAACCCTTGTCACTCTT